TATAATATTGTTAGTTCGCGCACATATTATAATTTGTTTGTCGACCAAACAGTCACAAACAAAAACAAAAATATGTGATGATATTGAAGTTCATATTCATTTAACTATAAGTTTTGATCTTATCTATACTAACATTCTATAAAAAAGTCGACATTCTTCTCGCTTTGAGCAGATTAATTTTATCTCATTCTAAACATAAATTAATTTTATTTTTCTTTTTATATTCCAATATATGAAAACACTTTGTTATTTTATCTCGTTTTCAACAGAAAAAATTAACCTAATTAAAATACCTGCTTAGCATTTTAAAGTATTCTAGTAACACCATATTGGTAACCAATTGCCTTGACCCTGTGGTAATTTCAAAGTGGAAGAGTTCTGAGTTCGAGTCTTCTTGGCTATCTAGTCGCGCTTTAAATTTAGAATATTTTTAAATGCGTACTCAAATGCAAGGTCTCGAAAAATTAGTTTTTAAGTCTAGAAAACCTTTGGAATCCTTATAGTTATTGAAAAAAACAAAACAAAACACCATATTGGTGCTACGAGACTTCCACATCGTTATTTATTTATTACTTGCAAAAGTTTTCCTTCCAATTGAATGATCCGCGTGACCAGTTTTCTCTTTAGATATGTCTAAAACATATAGGGTGTGACTGAAAACCTTTTATAGAAGTAAAGAAAAGAGAGAACTTTTTTTTCTTCTGAAAATGTACCAATCAAGTAGAATCTTTAATATTCTGGTTTCTTCTAAAAAACAGAAAATGAGAAAAAGTAGAAGACTTTTGTCCTCTACAAAATCAAGAGGATTTTTCTTTTCTTCCCACAGTAACTTTTTTTTCTTTCCTCTTAATATTTTTTTTTCTTCTCAATTCTACTAATAAAAATACCAGTCACACCCATAAATATGTTATCATATTTGTTGGCCAATGTCGTTTAACTATTTTATATACATTATTATCTACACACCCCTTTTGATTTGTCCCTTTAGAAGACGTGGGAGGCATTTTGAGCCACAAAAATTGATCCCACATAAAATTAAAATTATAATTCCATTAAAATCTTCTAAGCCGACAAATCTTACGATGTAATTACATCCGACAATAATATTTGCGGTTCAATATACTCATTTGCATCATGTCAACAAGACATTTGCATGGTATACAAACACCCCATCGCTATATTTGTTACTTTTTTTTGTACAATTAAC